TACATGAGATATTTGATGCTTTGTTAGAGAATAGGTTTTGCGGTAATTTTACCCAACTGTAGACATTTGTGGTAAAGAATCTGACTGCCAGTGCAAGAGATGTAGGTTTCATCTCTGGTTCAGGAAGATCCCCTGGAGAAGGAAATGGCAACCCACTCCAGTACTGTTGCCTGGAGAATCCCAGGGACAGGGAAGCCTGGTGGGCTACAGCCCATTGGGTCACAAAGAAGTAGACATGACTGAGTGACTAACACTTTCACTTAAGATCCCTATTCGATGTGTAGGGGTGATACCAAGTCCGGAATTCAGGGGCAAAGGCTGGAGTGGCCCATGTGTGAAGGGGACTGGACATGGAGGGACTGATGAGATGGTCTGGGGAGTGGATGGAGACAGGGAAGAGGTGGGGAGAGTGAGCCAGGGGCATCCCAGTGCTCAGAGCCCAGAGATAAAGGGAAGAACCACACTGCACTCCGGGAAGGGGTGGCCTGTGACCCAGGAGGGAGATGCAGGGGAGGGGGGTCTGGGAAGTGTGGAACGTGTTTCCAGAAGGGGCCCAGCAATGATGGCCTCTATACTTGGTCAAGATGAGGACTGAGACTGGGCCACTGGATTGGGGAATCAAAGTCACCTGTGGCCCTGATCCAGCAGTTTAGGAGAAGGGTTAGCAGCAAACGCCTGATCTCAAAGGGATCCAAGATAGGACAAGAGGAAGAAAAGAGGGCAGCAAGTATAGAAAACTCTTCTGGGGACTTCCCTGGATGCTCAGACGGTAAAGCGTCTGCCTGCAATGCTGGAGACCCAGGTTTGATCCCTGGGTCAGGAAGATCCCCTGGAGAAGGAAATGGCAACCCACTCCAATACTCTTGCCTGGAGAATCTCATGGATGGAGGAGTCTGGTGGGCTACAGTCCATGAGGTTGCAAAGAGTTGGACACGACTGAGCGACTTCACTTTCACTTTCTGGAGTGGTTAAGGCTCCCTCCTTTCAATGCAGGGGCTGTTGGTTTGACCAGGGGAATGAAGATCCCATTTGCCACACGTGAGGTCAAAAAAGAGGAAAGAAAGAAAGCTCTTTTGTAGAGGTTTGCCACCAAGGAGAACAGAGAAACTGGTGGTACCTAGAGAGAAGTCTAGGATTAATGTAAGGAACTTGGGTTTTTTTCTTGGTTTGGTTTTGTTTGGTTTTAAGATGATGATCAATCAGCAAATTTGGGTGCTGATGAAAATGAGTCAATAAAGAACTGACAATATCAGATAGAAGTAATGTTTTTAGGTTGAGCACAAGAAAAACTCCTCCACTGCAACAGTAGAGATGATCAGGCTTTTAGAAGTTGTTTTAACCTTGGGAGTTTCTTTTCAACTTTTTGCCATAAGGTGGCAGTAGACGGCTTTGCATCAACCCAACAACCCTTAAAAAACACCTTGGAGAAAATGGCAAATTTGAAGTTGATTTCAATTTTTGTTGTTGTTTTAAAGACTCGCCAGGGGTTCTAAAGGACCACACTGGAACCTCCTCAGGCCTCCAGCCTCTTCTTGAATAGCATCTTCTTGGTCAGTCCTTACCTTTCCAATTGCAACTTCCGTAGGTCCCAAGGCTCTCTGGAGAAGGTGATAGTCGCTCAGACTCAACAGATGCTTGTTGCTATCCAGGGAAGAGCATGGGGAACGGTAACTGCCAGGTGGTTGGTTACCCAGGCAACCACAGCTGGGGTGGATTTCAGAAAGAGGCTGAGGGCAGAAAGCACAAGGAGGGGACGGTGGCAGCAGTCTAGCTAGAGATGCTTGCCCTGGGACTAGAGCAGGACAGTCAATACGGAAAGGACAAGTTGTTCAGTTGCTCAGTCTTGTCCAACTCTTTGCAATGCCTTGGACTGCAGCATGCCAGGCTTCCCTGTCCTTCACCATCTTCTGGAGTTTGCCCAAGTTCATGTCCATCCAACCATCTCATTCTCTGTCATCCCCTGCCCTCAATTTTTCCCAGCATCAGAGTCTTTTCCAATGAGTCGAGGCTCTTCGCATCAGGTGGCCAAAGTATTGGAGCTTCAGCATCAGTCCCTTCAGTGAATATTCAGGATTGACTCGTTTGATCTCCTTGCAGTCCAAGGAAAGGACAAGAGGGCTTAGCATATACTTAGTAGGTGACAGATATCAGAAAAGGGAGAACTGGACACTGGTTCTCAGGTTATCACAAGTGAACAAGAGGATGTTGGTGTGAACTGAATGCAGAGGACCAGAACGTGAGAAGCACAGCCAATTTCAAGGGAAGGTGATGACAGGTTTGGACTGCAGGATCTTAAATAAGTGGAACGTATTCAGGGGAGGTGTGCAGTTTTACACACAACCACGGTGCCTGCAAGAGGGCTAGGTGGAAGTCACCAGCTACTGTGAACATAGTCAAAATACAAGCAAACTGGTTACTGTCAACATGGTTAGAACCTGAGAGTAGGTGACATCTGCTGGACAGAGACTATGGGATGAGAAAGAACATCCACACTGAGAATCATCAATTTCTAAGATGAGCAAAGGACAAAATTCTCTCCAGAGGAAAAATGTGGAGTTGGAATCCTGGCAGTAGTAAGTTTCAAAAAGGAGGCTGTATTAGTCTGCTATGCATGTTTGTTGTTCCGTCATGTTCGACTCTTTGCAACCCCACGGGCTGTAGCCCTCCAGGTTCCTCTGCCCATGGAATTCTTCAAGTAGCCTTTCCCTTCTCCAGGGCATCTTCCTGACCCAGGGATCAAACCTGGGTCTCCCTCATCGCAAGCATATTCTTTACCATCTGAGCCACCAGGGAAGACGTGCTATGGGGCTGCAATAGTGAAGTACCTCATGCTGGGTGGCTAAAACATGAAAAACTGATTTTTCTCATGTTTCTGGAGGTTGGAAGTCCAAAAGCAAGGTGGATGGCAGAGGTGGTTGCACCTGAGGCTCTCTCCTTGGCTTGTAGACGGCAACTTCTCTCTCTGTATTTTCATGGTTGTCCCTCTGGGTGTGTCTGCGCCCTCTTCTCCTTTTCTCGTAAAGAGAGCAGTCATCTCAGGTTAGGGCTCACCCGCGTGACCTCATTTTAACTGTCTCTTAAAAGCTTCTGTCTCCAAGTAAATAACCATCACAATCTGAAGCACTAAGGGTTAGCACTTCAGCATATGAATTTGGGGGGACACGGTTCAGACCATTGCAGTGCGTTTCGTAGAGTCAAACACAGAACAAACACCCAGTAATTCAAAGCTGTAAAGTGTCCTTCGGGGGTTTAGTTGCTAAGTCATGTCTGACTCTTCTGACCCCATGGGCTGCAGCCCACCAGGCTCCTCTTTCCATGGGATTTTCCAGGCAAGAATACGGGAGTGGGTTGCCATTTCCTTCTCCAGGGGATCTTCCCAACTCAGGAATCGAACCAGGGTCTCCTGCATTGCAGGCAGATTCTTTACCAATTGAGTTACCAAAGTGCCCTTTGGGTTTGGCAAAGCAGAGGTCATGGTTGACCTCAGTGCTGCTTGCTGAAGCCAGATGACCGTAGGTTATGAAGGTCTTAAGTGGAAACAAATAGTTTTGGGGAAACGTGGATGAATGCATATCCTTAGAGAGTTTGGAAGAGGGGATACTTTTTTCTTTTTGGCCACACCACGAGTCATGTGGGATCTTAGTTCCTCAACCAAGGATTGAACCTGTGACCCTTGCAGTGGACATGGAGTCCTAACCACTGGACCACCAGGGAAGTCCCTGGAGGAGGAACTACGAATATCTCTGCCCACTTTCTCATTTGGAAAGCAAAGTATAAGGATTTGACACCAAATAAATGAAGTATTATGAATATTATGATCTCTAGAGTAGAATAATTTCATTTATTGAGCACTTTTTCTGTGCTAGAAAAATTCACTTTAATCCTTCCATTCAATCCTTCCTTAATCTCTAGAGATCATAATATTCATAATACTTCATTTATTTACTGCAAACTTTTGCTTTCCCTTCACCTTCCTTGATTCAAGTCATTCATTGGCTGTGACTAAGGAGTTTCTTAACAATAAATGTAATTTTAAGATGAATAGAAACTTTCCTGGAAAATTAGCTAGTATTTGTGAAATTTAGAATAATGCTAGGCATAATTAGGTTATATGTGTTGAGTACTCATCTAGGTTCTTTGAAGGTATTATATTAACTCATTTAATCCTTATGTTAACAATTCTACCGCTGCTCCTGGCTTATATTGGGGGAACTAAAGGCCCAGGGAGACAAGAAATTTTCCCAAGGTAACACAGCTAGTAAACAGAGCTAGAGCCCAGACCCAGACTTTTAATGCCTTTAAGTGGCTGGAAAGAGGCTATTGAAGATGTGGGTACCCATTTGTGATGGTTAGTTTTATGTGTCAACTTGGCTGGGCTATGATATCCAATTGATTGGTCAGACATCAGTTGAGGTGTTGTGTAAAAAGGTTTTCTTTTAAAGATGCGATTTACATTTAAATCAGTAAATTTTGAATAAAGCAGGCAGCAGACAAATTCCACCTGCGTTTCCAGCCTGCGGACTCAAGACTGCTGCATTCCCAGCCTGCCCCGCGATTTTCAGATCTGCCAGTTCCAAAACCCTGTGGGAGTCAATTCCTTAAAATAAGTGCCTTTCTCTCTCATTCTGTATCTTTACTAGTGGTCTGTTTCTCTGTTCTCTAGCCTGAGCACCTTCACTCAAACACATGTGATAAATCTTACCCAAGGTCTGCAATATGGCCATGGGAGTGAAGGGCCAGCTCAAAGGAACAGCTTGACAGGGGGAGTTAGGGAAGGACTCCGTGGGGAAGGGCTCCCCTTGGCTCCCTTGGACCCAGACAGCCTGGCTCCTGCCCAGTGGAAGAAAAGGTGTTGGGGAGGATGGGAGGGCAGCTCTGACTGGAGCACTGGTGGTTCGGGGGTTGGGGGGGGTGGTTCGGGGAGGGAAGTGCGTGCAGTTCAAGGGCAGTAAAGAAAACCTCCTTTCCAACCACGGCCCTGCATGATGGCTCCCTCAAAGAAGGGCGGCAAGAAGAAGAAGGGCCGGTCCGCCATCAACGAGGTGGTGACAAGAGAATATACCATCAACGTTTACAAGCGCTTCCAAGGAGTGGGTTTCAAGAAGCGTGCCCCTAGGGCACTCAAAGAAATCCAGAAGTTTGCCATGAAGGAGATGGGAACTCCGGACTTGCGCATCGACACCAGGCTCAACAAAGCCTTCTGGGCCAAAGGAATCAGGAATGTCCCATAGCGGATCCGTGTGCAGTTGTCCAGAAAATGTAATGAAGACGAAGACTCTCCAAACAAGCTCTATACTTCGGTTACCTACGTGCCTGTCACCACCTTCAAAAATCTACAGTCATTGTGGACGAGAACTAATTGCTGATGGTCCAATAAAGTTATTGAACTGCCAAAAAAAAAAAAACCTGACCTCAGCAACCCGGGAAGTCCTCCCGGGGCTTGGGAACCAGTCTTTCAATACCTTCATTACTTTCATCTTTCTTTCTTTCTCCCGCATGATTTTTGTCAGCTTTTTTGAGACATACTCTCCAAACAATAAAATCCCCCAGTTTTACGTATAAAGTGTGATGAGCTGCGACACGGGGTTGCCATCGCCACAGCCACGACGCAGCACGTTTCCAGCTCTCCCCAAAGCTCCCTTGGGTCCCCTGGCTGTCGGCCCCGGCCTTCCCTGACCCCTGGTTAGACTCCGGTTTCTGCCACTGTGGTTTCGCTTTGTAGAGAATTTCAAATACTGGAATCATCCAGTATGTTCTCTTGCATCGAAGCTGCTTTCACTTTGCATTATGCATTTGAGCTTCATCCACGTGGTGACTTGCATCAGTAATTCATTCAGCTTGCTGAATGAAAATCCAGATGATGAATATCCATTACTGTACGGATGGACTGTGCGCCTTTGACCAGTGGCACATTTGAACTGTTTCCAGTTCTTGTCTATTATGAGTCAAGTTGCTGTGAGCAGTCAAGTACAGGCCTTTGTGTGGACATGTGTTTTCACTTCTTTGGGTAAATACCCTAGCAGTGGGATTGCTGGATTGTGTGGTAAGCATACACTTTACTTTGTAAAAAAAAAAACAAAAACTGCCAAATTGTGTTACTAGAGTGATTTTAGCTTACAATAAGGGGAGAAAGGAGAAGAAATATACCTTGCTGTTTAGCCAAAAAAAAAAAAAAATCAACCCCCCAAAAAAAGGCTTACAAGGGGGAAAACCAGTTTGGAATTAACAGTGGGTTGCATGTCTGCATGCTATTCCTTTCCAGGGACCACAAAATCAAGAGCGGCTGGTATCCTGACTTCTGCACATTAACATAATATGAGATGGTCATGACTATTTTCAGACCTCAAAATCAAGCACACTAGTGTGTGTGCACTCAGTCGTGCCTGACTCTTTGCAACCCCATGGACTGTAGCCCACCAGGCTCCTCTGTCCATGGAATTCTCCAGGCAAGAAGACTGCAGTGGGCTGCCATTTCCTCCTCCAGGGGATCTTCCCGACCCAGGGCTCAAATCCATGTCTCTTGGGTCTCCTGGATTGGCAGGCAGATTCTTTACCACTGTGCCACCTGGGAAGCCATCAAGTACACCAGGTAAAATGGATTTTAAAAAAATTTTTTAGATCAAATAAATTTCAACTTGGTGGCCACAATCCCTGGGTTGGAGGGGATGTTGACCTCTGTCCTTCAGAAGGTGCTCTTTCCATCTTCAGGGAAAAAGGTGGCAGTCTTCCCTGGACCAAGGCAAAGGGCTGGGTCACCAGCACTCCTGGGACAGCAAGTGACCAGTCCCCAGGTCACTTGCCTGCACTGGTGAGTCAGGAGGATATTTTTTGCCAGTCTTAGAGGACTGACGAGAGGAAGCCCTTGTCGGTCTGAGTAGTTTCCAAGTGTCGAGTGCCTTGGTACTCCTATGAAATTCTTGGGGCACAGGGATGTTTGACCAGGCCAGGGATCCTGTGCCCTGCTCCTCTGAGACATCACCTCCCCCAAGGCAGGACATCCCAAAGAACAAGCCTTGGAGGTCACATCTCCTTTCCACCCAAGTCCCTGGAGAAGGGCATGACAACCCACTGCAGTATTCTTGCATGGAGAACCCCAAGGACAGAGGAGCCGGACTGGTTACAGTCCATGAGGTGGCAGAGAGTCAGACCCCACTGAGCGACTAACAGTTTCACTTTCACTTCTCCACCCAAGTTACCTGTAGCTCCTTGAAGAAGAGAAAGAAAGCCACAAAGAAGGGGAAAAAAATACTTTAAAACATTCTGCAAAGAGAGTCATGTTTGTTAACGTGGTGAATAGTAACTCATGTTTTCAAAGATGACAAAATGAACACACGAAACTACTAGACATATTGATACCGAATGAAAAAGGATTAATGAACCTTTTTTCACATTCTGCCTTTGAGATGAAGACATGTCCTAGGAGACCCCCCCAACGCCCTGGGAGACTTTCAGTTGCTCCCCAGAATCAATTAGCTGCTTCCCTGGGGGAAGCTGAGGGGGCGGTGAAGACGGGTACCCGCTCCTGGGAGCAGGTGGGGGTCCTGTTCTCAGCAGAGCTGGACTATGGGGCTTCTCTCCCCAGGAGATGTATCCTTTTTCAAACTTTTCTTTTTTGATGTGGACCATTTTTTAAAGACTTTATTGATTTTGTTACAGTATTGTTTCTGTTTTATGCTTTGGGTTTTTGGCTTCCAGGCATGTGGAATCTTAGCTTCCCGACCAGAGATAAAACCTACACCGCCTGCCTTGGAAGGCGAAGTCTTAACCACTGGACCACCAGGGACGTCCCCTGGATGTGTCCTTTTAATCTCAGATGCTCAAGTTTTTTCTTGCCACAGAAAGGAAAAGCCAGACTCAGGTGGAGAGGGTGAGGAAACCACAGGCGCCCTCATGGCGGGCCTGCACTGTGCGTCCCCGGAGGCTAACCCAAATCCAAGCTCTCGGCGACTGGGAGTCCCGCCAGTGAGGCCGCATCCACAGACACGCATTAGGTGCTCTGCCAGCCACCGCGGATCGCTGGCAGTGGGACAGCCCCTGCCCGCCCCCTGGTCAAAGTGATTTTCAAGGGGGCCTGGGTGTCATTAGCTGGAGCATCTGACTCCACTCCAGCTGCTGGTGTCAAGGGAACCATCACTTCCATTTTGCCAGATCTAATGACAGGGTCCAGGGCTCACCCCCAGAACCCCCCCACCCCGTGATTCCCCAGCTCATCCTGTAGATGAGCCTTCCTCGCAGTGAAGGAGGAAGCAGACAGAACAGGCTCCCTCTTGAAAGCAGGACACCGTCTTGGGCTGGACTGTGGACTCTGAGCTCTATGCCCAGTATCTATGGAAACGACACACCAAGTGGAAGACCAGGTCCCCAGATGGAAGAGCCCCAGGGCTCGTGCCTAGACTCTCCATCACCTAAAAGAATACCCTAATTATCTATGCAACGGAATAGAGTCATACATTCTATTATGCTTATTGGGGTATGAGATAAGTGTCCACTATTAACTACCTAGGCTTAAGGCATACGAATCACGGGTTAACTTTGATTGTATCTTTCTTTTCCTTTGTCCAGACTAGTTTCGGGGAATTTGGGGAGGTGGGTTTGGGCACATACACTTAGGGTATATAAGGTTTCCACATAAAATCATCGGGGTCCTTGGCTAAGAGGAGACTCTGCCTTGGGCCCGCCGCTGTAATAAACTGCACTCCACCATCTGCGTTGTCCTTCTGAGTGAGTTTGTTTCCCGGAACGCGTGGCTACAACACTAGCTCACCCTCTTCTCCCGGCTTCCTGACAGCACCTGGTTTTTCTGTCTTTGCCTCTGGCCACTCTTTCTCCCTACTGGCTGCTAGTCCCCACCAGACCTCTCAGGGGCAGCATCGGTCAGCTCAGCCCCCCCCCTCCGTGTCCTGCGGACCGGCTCTTAGGTCACCTGCTGGAGCTCCGGCTCCGTCCTGAGCACCCTCTCTTCCGCCGCCCTCCAGTTTGGAGACCACGGCTCTCATCTGCGGAGATTTCACGAACTCATCCCTCCCAGACCGTTCACGTTTCTGGGAGGGTGGAGTCAGGCGTTGCTGGGCAACAGGACTAGAGTGGCTCAACTGTTTTTTGGCTACCCTTTCCTTACCTCTATTAACTAACCATCAGCTCTTCCCTTTGTTGACTGTAGCTGGCAATTTTTGCTGACTCATTATCCGTTGTTTGGGTCACACGACTAGGTTTTGGAGGAAGGAGGGTTTTGAGGTTGAAATTGACAGAGGGAAGTTCAGCGGTCAGAAAGTCAATGAACTTTAATTTTTTACTTGAAAAGCTCATTACAGATAATGATACAACAAAATACAACAGAAACATAATTTCCCTATCTGTAATTTTCCTTCCCAGGCCTTACCACAGTTTATATTTATTGCATATATTTGGGAACTTATGTTTTAATTTGTCCTCCATTAGAGACTCCATCAAGGACCTATTGCATAGCACAGTGAACTGTACTGAGAACCTCGTAATAGCCTGTAAGGGAAAAGAGTCCTGGCTCTGTGGCTCAGATGGTAGAGAGTCCGCCTGCAATACAAGAGACCCGGGTTTGATCCCTGGGTCAGGAAAATTCCCCTGGAGAAGGAAATGGCAACCCACTCCAGTGGTCTTCCCTGGAAAATCCCATGGATGGAGGAGCCTGGCAGGCTACAGTCCATGGGGTCGCAAAGAGTTAGACACGACTGAGCGACTTTTCCCTGAGTAAGGGAAAATAATCTGAATATACTTATGCATAAAGGAATCACTGCGTTGTGTACCTGAAATCAGCATATTGTAAATCAACTATGCTTTAATTAAGGAAGAAAACTCCATGAGGGGCAAGTGCTGGGTTTGCCTTGTGGCCTCCGTCATTACCAAACTGCCTGACATATGATAGGAGAGCACAAAGCATGTTGGGTGAATGAATTATTTAATTAACACATCAGACAAGCAATCAGTGTATGACAGGACCAAATCACCTCTCACTCACAGCAAGTCCGTCCTGCCCCGCTCCGCACCAGGACATGTACTTTGGGGCGTGTGTGTGTATGAGCACTGACAGGCCTGTTAAAATAGCATGTACTTAACGATACGCGGGATCCCCAGAGAAGATTTAAAATACGAATCCTTCGTGTCTTTTTATCCCCATGCAGCTTACAAGCTAAGCAACAGCAGATCTCAGATGCCAGATAAAAAGTGTCGCCCAGAATGTGGTACATACATATGGGGT